GTTGCAACAAAAATGAGTCCAAGTTTTTTCTGTGCAAATAATTTTTATTTGAATTAAATAAATTTGTATTTGAACCAATAATTTTTGTATTTGAAACAAATACCATGTAATTGATTTAAATAAGACTTATTTGGTTCAAGTAAATATTTATTTGTTATTAGTCAAGTAATTAAGTATTTGAATCAAATAAAAAATTTTTTTTCAGTGTAAATATAAAAATAATTTAATAATTAATTTATATAATTAAATATGTAATATATGTAATATTCTATTAAAATTATTACTAGCTTTAATTAATGGTTGTTCTAAAGTATTAATGGAACACTGAAAAATAATTTATTTGATTCAAAGAAAATCAGTTACTTAACTATTATCAAATAAATATTTACTTGAGCCAAATAAATATTTACTTGCCCCAAATAAATATTTACTTGAATCGAATAATTTTTATTTGAATTAAATAAAGTGTATTTAAACTAAATAAACTGGTATTCGAACTATTTCTGTATTTGAACCAATACTATTTGAAAAAATACCACTTAAATAACAATTTATTTAACCCAAATAAATATTTATTTAATAATACTCAAGTAACATATTTAAATGAAATAAATTTTTTTTCCCAGTTCCAATTACACAGAAAATTATAATGATTAAAAATAGCTTCAATCAATGGTATAGTATAATACTATAAAAAAACACCGTAAATTATAATTTATTAACAACAACAGACTTGAGGTAAATAAAATTTAAATAACAGCATGTTTAAAAGTTGCTAATAAATAAAACGCACACACAATAGGAAAATAAATTAGTTGATTGGCGCATAAATAGCGGAGCAATTTGTATTGAAATTGAAATTTGAAACACGATAATAGAAGTGTATATAAAGTGATAATAAAAATAGATGCAATTTAATTTAAATATACTTGGGGGGTTAAAAAGGGGGGGGGGGGGGAATTGACGGGAGGCGTGTTGGAATCTTTTTTTAAAGGTGCAACAAGTATATACAGTGAACTTGTGTAATGTGCACCTGGCGATTCATTTAGGTAACGACATGATCTACATACACACACGTGTCATTAAATCAAAGTAGTGATTAAAACGCAAACTGATTCTATATACATATATAATAAATATATATATATATAAAATCAGTTCGAGAGTGATCTGTCTGGTCATTCATGCGTTATATGTAAACCAGCAGAAATAATCTCACACACGAACATTATAACAGCACCTCAGGAATCGATAAAAAATTTATATATACACTCACAAGACAAAAACGAGCTTTCACATCTTATGTTCGTTTTGTTCACTTTGTATATGAAATAACAAAAAATTATATTTAAAAAAAGAAAATAATTTTATTTTTTTTTTAATTTCTTCACAGAAAATTAAAAGGCATTAAATATTTACTTGAACCAAATAATTTTTAAAACCAAATATATAATTCAATTAAATAAACTTTATTTGAATCAATAATTTCTGTATTTGAAACAAATATATAGTTTAGCTGACTGAAATAATAATTATTTGATACAAATAAATATTTATTTGATAATAGTCAAAAATGTTAAAAAAAAATTAAAATGTTTTGATTAAATTTAAAAAAAAAAATTAGTTTAACCCTTCCCGATTAAAATAATTCGAATGTAAAGAAATGTTATCCTTTAATTTGTCTGTTTTTTTTTTTTAATTAATAGTTTTTTTCTATATATGTGAAACTTGCTGGGAAGTAGACATATATAATAGAATTAGTAAATGACTTGAAGGGAAAAGATAAATTGAAGAAAAATAATGATATGCCTGGTGCGAGGTCTCCGTTACGCTCCGAAAAGCAAGATACAATTACGCCATTTAATTGGGTACAACAGGTGGCTACTGATAGACAATTTTTTTTTTTTTTTTTTTTTTAAATAAACACTTGCAGTTTTACATCCGATTCCTTAAGATTTCCCAGCCTCTTGTTCCCAGGCTTTATTTTTTTTTAGTTTCTCATATAAAAAATTTGCATTTCACGAGTATTTTTCTAATTTTATACATACGTATTATTAACGTTCAGTGAAAATTATATATTTATAAAGAAGTAAAAAAAAATGTAATTTCTAATATATAACAATATGGTGATGTGATTAATTATATTTTCGAATAATTATCCAATTATCTAAGAGACACTAATAATAAACTATTTATTATCTATAAATTGTTTAATGTGCAGTTACATCTATTATACAAATGCGAAAAATAATTATCAAATAATAATTTTGAGAATATTAAATATTATTACTAAATTCCAAATAAATTTTATAATTTTTTTTATTAAAAAAATAAATTTGTTTTCGTATTAAAAAAGAAAATTAAAAATAATTTTTTAATAATTTTAAAAACAAGTTGAAAATTTGTTCGAATTTTACGAAAATTTCAATTAAAGATATTGTTTTAATTACATTTATAAAAGATGAAATTGCCATAATTAATATTATAAGAATTTTAAATGGAGACCAAAAGATAATTGAAAGGCAATTATAAAGTACACAGGTGTTCATGTAACCTAATAAAGTTCAACTTTCTAATGAAATTAAAAAACTGCGTAAATTGTATGCATAATTGATTTTCGGTATACATATTGGTGTCATTAATTTATGTGAATTAAAGTGATGCACATAATAATTATTTTTCCTTTGTAATTGTTATGTAATATTACAAATTATATTATATAATATAATAATAATAAATATAATAATATAATAATAATATTATTATGTTATTAATATTATTAATTCTATGTAGATAATTTCGTAAAATATATAAAAAATTCTTTGTCATTGAGGAAGTGCTTCTCATTAAAAGAGCATTAATTATTATAATAGGAGGGACGCTTTTGTATTTTTTTTTCTCCCCTCTTCAAAACAGGTGACCTAAATTGTAATTTAATTACAATTCATTAAATTTTGATTAATTAATCAATAAACAGATAAATTAATAATTTACATAAAACTAAAAAAGAAAATTTCCTTATTAGAAAAAAAAAACGTTTCTACGATTAAATATAACAGAGAAAAAATTCTTTCATTAAATATAAAATTTCATTTTTAATTGTCTGGTCTTTAATAGCAACATATAAAAATTCCTCAAGAAAAGCATGATTTCCCATTAAATTAGGATTATTTGATTTTTATAGCACGAATGCGGAATGTTTGAAACATATATATAAATATATATAAAACTGTATGTATTTTAAAATATATATTATATATATATATGAAAAATTCTTACAGTTATTGCAATTGTGAGGCTGTAAAGAGTGCATATTACTGACCTGCTTAATCTCCTTAATATGTAGCATTTGCAAAACTAACATCAACTGTTATAACTGTAACCTCTACGCGAGAGAGAGACAGAGATTAGCATAAATTTATCCACTTTTTTTTTATTATTTTTATTATTATAATATATACTATATATATTATTGCTCCGTATATAATAAACTTTTGAGAGACAACCGCCTATTACAAAATTCAATATTCTCAAAACGTGACTCGTTTTTCTAGACGAAAATAATAAATAATTCTGTTATATGCTTTATAGACGATTTATATATATAATATACGACTTTCTCCGATATAATGCGAGAATATATTTTTTTATTTTTAATTTATCATGTAGTTCAGTGTCAAAATGCTAAACTAATTTCATTTTTTTTAAACTCTTCTTTAAACCTATACAAATGGAGGCTACAATTAAATGTAACAATTGACGCTTTTTATTGAATTTAACTTGAAGATATATAATATATAACAACCGTTAATTGCCACCAAATATAACAAATATTAATTGAAGCTACAATATAGCTTAAAAAATACTATTAATTAAAACCATCATCTTCATTAATTATATCGCAATTTGAAGCTATACTGAAAACAAATTATTTGATTCAAGTAATTGCTTACTTGGCTATTGTCAAATAAATATTTACTTGAACCAAATAATTATTATTTGCGAGTCAATTAAATGCGTATTTATTTTAAATATAGAAATTATTGGTTCAAATATAGTTTATTTAATTCAATTATTTATGGTTTTAGAAATTATTTGCGGCAAGTAAGGGATTATTTGAATCAAATAAATTTTTTTTCAATGCACAGAAAATTAAAAGGCATTAAAATAAGTTGCAACGCTTATTATTTTAATCCAATTTTGATTATATTAATCCATTTTGGTATTAATATAAGCAAAATTGGATTAAAATAATAGTTGCAGCTTATTTTAATGCCTTTTAATTTTCCGTGTGAACAATCAAATGAAACAAATTAAAAAAATACCGCACAAACAATTAATTGAAGCTACAATTGAATGTAACAACCATTAATTTTATCTGCCAAATGGAACAATTGAAGCTGGGAATGTAAAATCTTTCATCGAATTTTGTCACTATTAATTGAAGCTACAACGTAATGTAGGAATCATTAAATTGTAACTACAACCAAGAATTAATTTTAAAAAAATAATTAATTTAAAAAAGTTTTTAAATATTAATAATTGTCACGAGAAACATTATACTACTAGCATTACTTATAAATATCATAAGTTATGGTTATTCGCAAAAAATTTCTTTTTTTTTCTACAAAAATAATTCCGTCTATAATTGGATCTCTTATCGGTTCTTATCTGATATAGTCGTAATTTGTCGAACATGTAATTTAAACTCTTTTTTTTTATCCTTCTTTCTCTATATATAACTATAATACCAAGGCAAATTAGTCTTTTATATGGATGTAATTTGCAACTTCGCAAACTCAAATCTCACATTCCTCAGCTTCCTGAGAGAGTAACCAATGGGATCCGGACCCGACAACGACGATAATAAAGGCTTTTATTTTACGTCTCGCTCTTTGTATAAAGGCTTTTGCGTTTGGTTAATATTTCTGGTGTGGTACTATATAACTACTACTACTACTACTACTAAATTTATGATTTTTTGCGTCATAAAAACTCACCGAGAAATGAGAGGCTGAGTCCTGATCTATGTCGATCATCAGGAGGCGCCATGGCGTTAAAAATTTACCCCAAAAAAATCCACTTATTTTTAAAGCATTTTTTATCACAATTTTTCGATATTTTTTCTTTTCAAAACGATATCCTCTTCTTTTCAACTTAAATGATTCAAAATCCACAATTCACGCACAATTTGCATATTTTTTTTTCTTATAAATCCCAATTCACTAGTAACTTAATAATCACTTTAACAAAACACAAACACTTTTTTTGAAATCCTTTTAAACTAAAAGTGAATGAACGAAAGTGTTTCGAGAAATATAAGAGAGAACGTAAAATGGATGTGCATCGTAGAAGAGAACAAGTCGCACTGATTCAGGGCCTCAAGAATCGGAGCCAAAGAGAAGAGTTGGGTCGTATAGACTCTCTTATACACGATTGGTTAGCAGACCAACTGACTGACCGTCTCGAGAGTTCTCATGGGACTACGTGGTGAAAACATTCGAGTCAGTCGTGTAGTCACGCAGGTTTCTTGGTTCTAAAGAATGAGTACATGTCGAAGAATCCTCAACATTCAAACCCTCCCAAATAAGTCGAAAAGGGGGGTTTTCAAGCTTCTTGGTTTTCACCAGGAATTTAAGGCCTTTCAGAAATTTTTTTTTTTTATTTCAGGATTAGATTTTAAAGAGAGTGCTTCTTAAGGTTATATATAAATTATACAAAGGAAACATCTTAAGGACCTGCTTCAATGTAATATTGTACAAGATCATAAATTTTGAAGAAGCACTACTGTTGCAAGGGGGATGCGAACGTGACGTTGAAAATGTTAAGAAATTTACGATTTCGAAATTTGTTTTTAAATAAATAGAAAAAAAAACCACCTTACCAAAAAAAAGCTATGGATTTGTTCAATAAAAAAAAAATAGAGGAAACATTAAAATTCTCACGATAAGAAAATAAAAGAAAGGAGTCTATAAGAAGATAATTTTAGCTCCAACTCTTTTTTTGGCGTCTTCACTTGAAATACCGAAGCGGAATCAGACCCAATGTGTGCCAAGTAGATACCCAATGGCTAAAAAAAAAAATTAGGGTCTCCTGCACTCGCATTAGTGAAATTTATCCGATGCTTTCAAATTAGATTTTGCATTCAAAGTCGTCTATCTTTCAGAATTTATATTTACTGACAAAACCTAGCTACCGATTATATAAGAATTTAAAAATTTCTATATGGACAATTCATCAGGAAGAAGAGGGAATTATTTTCAATTAGCTATATATAAATGAAAGCGATTATCCAATACACACGAAATGGAAGTGAAATCAGTGTCTACAAAAATTACACGTAAAGGGTAAAGTCAGAAGAATAATTACCGGTCTTTTATATTAAAGAAAAAAAAAATTAAAAGAAGCTCCCACGCACGTGTTTGGTAAGGTCAACAATCTGATGATTTACTTCTTTTTCTATCTTATTGCAAATACAGGTTTTCACATTTTCTTATATATACGCAAGAGTATATCTGGAATATATTAAAGTCACTGTGTGAGTGGAATATGTATTAAATGTGCTAACAGAGTAACTTCATAGGTATCCCTTTACAACAAGTGAATCACAACTTTGCGTATAAATAAATTATTAAGTATATATAGGTTTATAGAAAAAGGTGATTTTGTTGCGAAAATGCAATTCTAAAATCAGATATATAAATAATTTCAATTCTTGAGTCAAGAAAAACATATGGAATTAGCACACATATACACTTCAATAATTATTGAAGCGATTCGTCGTGTTATGAGTTTCAAGAGTCGAGGAGGACATTACTCGATTCACTTGGCGGAGTCTTTCCTGTTTTCCCTTTCCATTCTTGTTTTCAAGCCCCATAGGCCCTCAGGTTACCGGATCTTGTCTCAACCAACAGGTTAAAGTAGCTTCACCACGTCTGTTTTACCTGCTCTGCTTGTCAGCTCAACGCTCTTTCACCTGGCAAAATTTAACACCTATTTTCTCTTCTTCGAGTTGATTAACTGAATTAGTTTTAACAGCTTGTACTCGGAATTATTTCTTTCCTTTTTTTTATATCCGATGCTCTTTTTCGACATCTGAACGAAAATGTTACCATCTGATTTCAGAATAATTCCTCATTTAGTCTGCAACAATTTTTATGGAGAAATAATCCAACAACCTACACAAGCCGAATTACCATCGGATTAACTAATTTCTGATGACAAAAATCTAACCGAATTGTACCAACTGAATCAGAACTAATTCTGAATTAATTCGAAATTATAGAAGCGAATTGTTTCACAGAATTTAACAGGCTGATCCAAATTTTTTTATTCTATTTGTGAATCTAAATAAAGAAACAAACCTTTCGAACCTAAAACTACAAATCTATACAGAATCTAGGTTCACAGGAGAACTGGTATCTAAGCATCATTAATTAAAAGGTGCAAAATACCGTACACAATCTATCACTATTTTTTAATACGAAAACAATTGAATGCCATATATGATAGTGGTTTTAATGTTAAGAATTTTGTTGTTCCTTGATTAAAACTCCCCTCAAAGAGAGTGTATTTCAATGTATAACATTTGCACAACGTGATTTGTACATTTATTTTCCGCATGTGTATAGGTGTTGAATGCGTCTCAAGTTCCCGACATATATAAGACATGATATACCTGTGCGACTAGTAAGCTTATAAGTAAACTTCGCTCTTATCGAATCGTGACAAGTCAAACGTCCAAAAAAAAAGAAATGGTGCTGGAGGGAACGTGACTTCTTAATATGACACGTATGCCTGCACTTATAAGAGAGATCCCTACAGAATGCATTTAAAGAGAGAAAAAAAAGAAATTTAATACGTGCTGCGAAAATTGCAAAATAGCAATCTAATGTTCATATTGCAACCAAATAGCAAATTAGCATAAATCACGAAATTGCAGAAGGTATTTTTTTTACGCTTTTGGAAACAAAGTAAAATTAACTATTTCTATAGAGCTTTCTCGGACCAAATATTATAATCAAAATTTTAAATTTCTTTTTAATAGTAACGAAAATATAGAAATTATTCCGAAAAAGTAGAATAGAAGAATTCTACTATAACTACAACTTCGGTTAAATATATCTAAAAAGGGAAATAGATGCCAAAAATCAAAGGGAAAAATAATCATATCCGTTTGTCATTAATAAACTTGCAACGATGGAGCAACAGTTTCTTCCTACATTAAAAAGAAAATGGGCACAATAATTGTATATCAAATATTGTCGCGAAGATTATCAACTATTTTTCTCAAGAAGTGTAGGTATATTTATAATATTTGTAGGCAGACGAACAGGTAGGCAGGAAACTACCACAAATCGTGCTAGCGGTTTCTTTCCACCTGTTGTTGTACCCACATATATTATAATAACTATAGCATGTTTTATATTTTTCAAAAGGAAACTGAAAATATGTTTCCAAATGCACATGTGGGTTCTATTTTTAAGGCTCTAAAACGAATACCTTAAATAAGAAATCATTTTCAAGGCAAAGTTTTTGGCATATAATTACAAATAAGAAATTTAATGATTTTATTAAATTTATCTTTCTTCTAATATTTTCTATAATCATTATTATGGGATCCATTTTTATACTGCATTCATTATTAATATAATAACATCATCATATTATTTTCTAAATAAAACTTTTAAATTACATTCGAAATGAAATTGGTTATGCGGTTATAAAATTTCATATAAAGGGCTACTTTTCTAAAACACTTATTACGTTAAAATAACATAGTAATAAATTTTTCATTTTGTATATATATATATGTACTCTTTTCACTATATATACATATAATTATGAAATTCATTGAAATGTAAATTTCCCTCAATTTCTAATATCATTAAACTTTTCTCTTTCCAATTAAGAAGGAATATTGAAATAAAAATTATTAATTTTTTTTTCTTTATATTATCCCAATTAACATATTAGAGAAATCGAATTTACTTTAATATCAATATAAATGTGAAATAGAAAATATATTCAATTTTTGATTTTTTTTTACTAATCGAAATTTTATGATTCGATATAAGAATTATTAATATAATAATAGACTCTATAATGACATTAAAAATCCGTCATTTAAAAAAAGAAATTAATTACATAATTATCGAGATAAAATAATTGTGTATATTAATTGACTAAATAAAGGTTTTTTAGGGTATTTCGGTTATAATTAACACTTTGGGACTATAATCATCATGACCTTATTAATGCAGATAATAGTAGAATTCGAATGTGATTATTAGCTGTAATTGCTATAATAGCTTTTATATAAAAAGTCTCATTATTCTAAATTATAGACTCCATTTTTAATAAGTAAATTTTTTGTTAAAACGTATCTTATATTTTGTTTTTCATTTAATTTAAAAAGAAATTTTTTTTTTTAATTAATACTGTGATGACAACAATTTTGTTAAAAATAAAAATAGAAAAATATGGAAACAATTATTTTTAACTGATATAATAATATTGAATGGAATTTTTTCCCCACATAAATTATCTATGAATAAATTTAATAAAATCATTAGTCTTCCTATAAATCACTGGAGGATCTCTTTACTCTAATAAATTATCTTCATTGCACCGCAAGATAAAACTGGTTGGAAATTGAAACTACAAATTCGACGACATTTCAAATTAATTATCATATATACGGAAATTAACGAGTCTCTTTTTTTCATATATACATATTATGTAAAAATAAAAATCGTCAGCATTAAATTAATTTCAGAGAAAAGAAAAATTATATAAAATCTGCGAAAAAATTATTCTTTGGAAAAATTTATAAATTCTTTTTTTTCGTTATTTAAATATAACGAAAAAGGGTTTTAGTGCGAAGAGGTAGAAAATGAATTTGCATTTTATTTGGAAAAGGGAAGAAGAGGTCAAAAGAAGCGATCTACTCTCCTCTCACCGGACGTGAACGAGAACCAAATACAAATTACAAAAGAATATAACTTTTTTTTATATATATTCACACACACACATGAATAAATGTATATGTAAAAATGTGTTGGGATAAATTCGAGGAGAGTGAGAGGTTTAAATATATATGTGTGTGAGACACGGTTTAAAAAAAAGTGGGCACCAAGAGAGGATGTAAGTCATTCATTTTACACATGCTGCAAGATGTTGACTAAATTTTTATATATGTATTATATATAAAAATACTCGAATTTGCAAACACATTTACAAAAAAAATTTTTGACTTTTTAATAAATATTCTATTAAAAAATAATTAATAAATAGAAATAAAATATTTCTATTAAAAAATAGAAAAAATAATTACAGGAGACTTGATTTTTTTTTAACCGCGTTAAAAGTGAATATGCGGGTAGGCGGATCAGGGATCTATACAGGGCCACATTTTGTAAGACATTTTGCCCACGCCAAACATCGGCAATTAAACGAATCCGGACATA